CCAGTTTGATCAGAGGTTCGTGAGCCTGGTACGTTGTGCTGGCTGGACTTGCAGACTGTATGCAGGTCCAGACCTACAACCAGTCAGAGCAGTGAAACATGTGACATGTGAGTTTTCAAATGGACTGGACTGGTGACGCCCCTCTGTCAGTCATCGTATCAAACGATGAATCACAGAATACGCCCTTCTCTACAATCTCTTCCAGTTTGTGCCCCATCAGTCTCTCCTGCGCTTCATGATTGACATTGCATCAGGGATGGACTATCTGAGCTCGCAGGGGTTCCTGCATAGAGACCTGGCTGCACGCAACTGCATGTGAGTTCATCAGAGGTAGACAGTGAGAGGGGGCGCTTGAAATCAAGGACTCCTTGTTCGTATATGACTGTCTCTCTGTCCACAGCTATTGGTATTCAACCATAGCTTGCATCTGGGGAGGAAGCTGCTTAAAATGTTAATAAAGCAGACTGAGGCCTTCAGAGGAGTCGGTGTGTGTGTTGAGACAAAATATAAGAAACTAAGTGTGTCAGAACTCTCATTTTGTTACTTGATCTAAATCCAGAGAGCGTTGCCTTGTCTTTTTTTAATCCACAGGCTGGGTGATGACCTAAAGGTACGTGTGGCTGACTTTGGCCTGTCCAAGAAAATCTACAGCAGCAATTATTATCGTCAGAAAGTAGTTATTCGTGTGCCAATCAAGTGGATGTCCATGGAGAGCCTGTCTGAGTCTGTCTACACCACCAAAAGCGATGTGGTGAGTTTGGTTTTCTTTACATGATGAACAGCTGTGAAAGTAGAGATTAGATTCTGAATTCTTGGTTGACATTTACTGAACACCTGAATTTATACATTGAGTATGCAAGACTGTGACTTTCTGCCCCTGTCCTGTCAGTGGTCATTTGGGGTGACCATGTGGGAGATTGTGTCCCGGGGGAGGACTCCCTATCCTGGAGTTCACAACCACGAGCTGCTGGACCTGCTGCTGTCCGGCCACAGGCTCAAACAACCTGAGGAGTGTGACCACAAACTGTGAGTTCCATTTGTTTCATTCTTGTTTTGATGAGAGAGGTTTTGTGTGCAGTGTGCAGAGCAACAAATTTGGGGTGTGTTATGGAGATAGCTAAAAATCTATCTTTGAATTGTTTTATTTAATGTAATTTAATTTCAACATTCCAGTATTATATGTTTACTTTTGTTATTAGATGTTAATTGATAATGTATATATACAGTCAGCTCCAAAAGTAATGGAACAAATAATCTTAAAGTAAATAACATTTAATATTTGGTGGCCTAACTCTTGCTTGCAATAACTGCCTCAAGCCTGCGACCCATCGACATCACCAAACGGTTGCATTCTTCATTTGTGATGCTATTCCAGGCTTTTACCGCAGCTTCTTTCACTTCTCGTTTGTTTCGGGGTGTCTCTCCCTTCAGTCTCCTCTTAAGGAGGTGAAATGCAGCTCTATTGGTTTCAGGTCAGCTGATTGACTTGGCCAGTCTAAAACCTTCCACTTTTTCCTCTGATGAAGTCCTTTGTTTTGTTGCCAGTGTGCTTTGGCTCATTGTCCTGCTGCAGGATAAACTTTCTCTCGATTAGTTTCAATGCATTTCTCTGTAAACTGGCAGACAAAATGTTTCTGTCCACTTCTGAATTCATTCTGCTGCGACCATCATCAGTTCCATCATCAATAAATATTAATGACCCTGTTCCAGAAGCAGCCTCGACATTACCTCCAGCATGCTTCACAGATGAGCTCGTTTGCTTCGGATCAGAAGCAGTTCCTTTCTTTCTCCACACTTTGGCCTTTCCATCACTTTGCTAGAGATTAATCTTGGTCTCATCAGTCCATCAGATTGGGTTCCAGAACTTTTGCAGCTCATCTCTGTTCTTCTTTGCAAATTTCAGTCTGGCCTTTAGATTCTTCCTGCTGATGAGTGGTTTGCATCTTGTGGTGTGGCCTCTATATTTCTGCTCTCTGAGTCTTCTTCCAACAGTGGATTGTGATACCTTCACCCTGCACTGTGGAGGTCGTTGCTGATGTCACTTCCTGATGTTTTGGCGGTTTTCTTCACAGCTCTCACCATATTTCTGTCATCAGCTACTGTTGTTTACCTTGGCCGACCTGTTGGACGTCTGTTGCTCAGTACACCAGTAGATTCTTTCTTTTTCAGGACGTTCCACATTGTTGTGTTTGCTATCCCCAATGTTTGTCCAATGGCTCTGCTCGATTTTCCTCCTTTTCTCAGCTTGACAGTGGCTTGCTTTTCTCCCACAGACAGCTCTCTGGTCTTCATGTTGGTTTATCCTCTTTAACAGGAAATGCAGTCTTTATAGGTTTGAACCAAGGATGAAAACTTAGACTAGTCATGCAGAGCTAGTTAATGTTTGGACAATCAACCTAAAAGGCAACACCTGGGCAACAAGAAACATCTGTCAGTCACATGTTCCAATAGTTTTGATCACTTGAAAAATGGGTGGGTTCAAACAAAGGGTGCTATGTCCTGAGTTGTTTAACACATCTAGATATGAATACCATCAGTGAACAATAAAAGCAAAGGAATTTGCCTTACCGTTCCAATACTTTTGGAGGGGACTGTATTATATTGATAATAGAAGGCAAATATCTCAAAATAAGAATATTGTGGGCAAGTAAAATTTCCCCCGTAATTTAAGTCACAAATACAAAACTTTCACATATTGTAAATTCATTACATATAAAGTGGAATATTTCAGGCCTTTGTTGTTTTAAAATATTTAAATGTCCACCTACTGAAAAGCTGAAAAGTTAATTTATGTACTTGGTCAGGGCTCCTTCTGCATGAATTACTGCATCACTGCAGCGTGGCCTGGAGACAATCCGCCTGTAGCTGCTGAGGTGTTATAAAATGAAATATTTAACTTTACATGTAGTGAATATAATATATGAAAGTTTCACATTATGACTTAAACAAGACAAATAAACTTAGACAAATGAACTTTTCCACAATATTCAAATTTTCTGGGATGCAGCTGTAGGTAAATATCCCAAGAAAATAAACTCCAGTATAAAATAAATTGTTAACAGCGATTAATAATGTGAAGAACTCCCTTTAAATTAGTCAGAAATTAACCCAAATTACAAAACAACAACAAACATGTTTTGATATGTTGTGCATTCATGCAGATAGTTTATTTGTTCAGGTTTTGAGAGATCTGTGTGATATTTTTGGCTCCACCCATACATGGAGGTGAATGGAATTATATTTTATTGGGTTTTTTTTGTAATTTTATTGGGACTATTTCTGTGACAGAAAGTAGTTTTTTATTTGTTTGTTCAGTTTTGACCAAATTTCAAATGCATCATTTTGTTTATTATGTGCCTGTTTATTTTCCATGTGTTATAATTATTTCACATATTTTCTTTAGTTTTAAGCTAAAATGTTATACTAATATTTTGCAAATATAAATCTGGGGGATGGACCCCCAACATGGTTAAAGACAAAAACTTATTCTACACAAAACTATTATGTTTTGTTTCTTGTGAAAAGCTGGATAGTTTCACCCTGTGAGACTTCAAGCTAAATAGTTTCAGAAGGACAATATGACGTAGGTTGAAACACTCACAGCTCAGACATATGAAAGCTGTAATGATGGGTCACACTTAGACATTGTTTTGTTTGAAGCCATTGTTACAAGGAATATTCAGGTATATCTATACATAATTTACCCTGCGTACTTCCTCTTCTTCCTCCATCTTAACCCAAACCCAGTTATGAAGTCATGCGACGCTGCTGGGATGAGGAGCCGACCCTCAGGCCTGGCTTCAGGGAACTGGGTGAGACACTGAAAGGCCTTCTGTCGGAGCTGCCGGTGCTGGAGGCCAGCCAGGAGGCCAGCTACATCAACCAGGGCCTGGAGGTTGCTGCTGCTGTGGCAGCCTCTCAGGATCCACAGACAGACTCCGGGGGAAGATGGGAAAACGTCTACTTGCCTTCTCCTGTGGGTGCTGCTGCAGCCAGAGATGAAGATGTGGAAGTAGAGGGTGGCTACTTTAAGTTTTTTACTGACTCAGCAGTTAAGGGGGATGACAAATACTAAAAAATACAGTTTTTACAATTTAGAAACTGTAATCTTTTATTAAATTGGACCATTCTTGAACTGCGTGTGTGGGGGTGTGTGAGTGTGAAAGAGAGGGGTGGTACAGGCTCCCATTGGAATAGGGCTGACTACCATGGGTGCAGCCCATACTATGTATGGAAGTTGATAACAAGCTAGAAAATCACTGTATTTTGCACCTTACATGTTTTGTATTCTGTATCTGTATTGTGTGTGTGTGTGTGTGTGTGTGTGTGTGTGTGTGTATATATATAAATACACGTGTCTGTGTGTTACTAGAAAATACGGGTGACTATGCAAGTATATAAAAGTCCATCCAAAGTTATGTCCAACCGAAATTATGTCAAAATGATGAGATATACTAAATCAAAACTGCTGAGATTATTAGATTCTAAGTCACAATTTTGACTTTCTATGTCAAAACTATGAGGTTAGTGAAAAATATCAGATACAAAGCCAAAAATATGAGATACATCAGAATTTTGACATTTTAGTCAAAACTATAAGCTACTAAGTCAAAATGATCAGGTAGGCTACATTACTATGAGGTGAAAAATTATAAGAAAAAAAGTCTAAATTTGGACTGACAATCTTATAATTAAGACTTAGTATCTCAAAGTGACAACGTAGATGTTGACACAGTATCTGATAATTTTGACCTACCAGTATTTTGTGTTATTCCTAAAATGTAGCCTATTTTGTTTTGTTTCTTCTGGCAGAAATGGTCTTCCAAAGAAATCTTATAGTATTGAGTTGGCCTTTGACAGTTAGGCAGGTTTGTGTACAGTTTGTAGTTGTTTTTAACGCATCTTTTATAATAAACTACAAGTCCCAGCACTGCTCCAATTCTAGATTTGTCCTTTTTCTGAGTAATGACACGTCACCTAACGTCACTACCGCACCTGCGCAGCCATCTTGAGCCTCTAGCAAGCAACAGACAGAGAAAGGCAGAAAAAGGAGTAAAATATAACAGACTAACCTGAGAAAACAGGGGTATGTCCGCTAGAATCAAGTGTATATGAAACAGTAAAGGTCAGATAGTGTGGAACGAGCAGGGGACAGTAACGGACACGGTAAAGCAGCCATCTAAGTGCCTTCGATACCCGGACCTACAAGTCATCTTTTTTGCCGGAGTGGGAAGGAGTCGAGTCGCCGACAGAAAAACACGTCCAGAGTAAAACCATGAATCCCGAATAGTGAGTTTTAACGTTAACTTTCCTCACACGCTTCACCGTGAGACGGTCGCTGGTGTAATCAGTTAGAAATGATATTTACATGTTATGTGGTGTGTGGCGTAACCGTGTGTAAACAATGCTATTACATTTATTGGCAAACTTTAGCTAGCTGGAGCGCGTGAGCAGGGTGCGGACAGCTTCTTTAATGTGACAGTCTCGCGAATGTGTTTTTCTCTAAAGGTCAGCTGACAGCTCGCTCGTGCCTCCTATAAACGAAGAATCCAGTGTGTAAAACTAGAGTACAAAAAGGAGGAAACGCTGCCGTCGTTCACTCTAGAAACTAGAATGGAAACGAGCAAGTCAGCGTTACGTTGACAGTAACGTTACACGTAGTAGTGAAGTACCAAATGTGGGATGGCTGACCTGCATACAGAAAGCCTGTTGTGTTTTTTCATAAGTATGGGGACATGTACATACTGTAGCGTTACACACATCCTCCAGTAAGTCAAATAATTCAGATATCCAGTAAGTTACTCGCCTTAAATTCGCCATGAACGTAACACATCTTGTAAAGGTTAATGGCTTCCCTTTTACTACCAAGCTTACGAGCAGAATGGACTGTTTGCATATCAGTTATTTGTAGATTTATTTTTACTACCGTTGATATGCATGCCTGTTTGGTTGGTGCCGAATTAAATTGTCTTGTGACTGCTATGTAACGTTAATATCGCAGATAATGCAAACACGGGCTTCTCTCCATTCCTTAGCGTGTGGTGGCTAACGTTAAACGATACGGCAGGTAGCATCTGCTTGCCGCTGACCTGCAGCCCTGAAATGAGAGGACACCCGCGTGTCACCGAATCCCTAGGTCTGTGCTGAACCGTCTCACTGTCTCTGCTGTTGTCCCAGAGCCAACAGCTGGAACCCTGTCTAACTAGCTTAGCTAACACCTCCACACCCTTAGCAGACAGTCTTTACTTTACTGTACAATCTTGTTTCTGGTTAAATATGCCTTAACATTGCTCAAACCAGGTTAGGGTAATTAAATTCACAGTATGTACTAGGGCTGGGCAAAAAAACAATGATGATTATTATCGCTATATAATTTTCCTCAATGACAATATAATAAATGTTCAATATATCGTCAATAAATATCTGGTTTAATTAATTTGAATCACGAACAAATATTTTTAATGTTCTACCTCAGATTTGTTAAGTGATCCCGTGTTTGTCACATTCTGAGCATCCAGAAAAGTTTAACCACATAATTAACCATCTGGTTTCTTCAATTTTCACTCAGGAGCAAAAATCAGCCTTTAAACGTGAAAGAAATAATGATTTGACATTTACCATGATAATTATCGATATCGAATGATATGAAATGTTTTTATCGTGGTAACATTTTTGGCCGTATCGCCCAGCCCTAGTATGTACCTCTTTTCAGTTAAACAGTGGCTCATTGGCAGTAATTCTTACTGTAAGAATTAAGTCCAGGGTCCAAAATTAACTTTCTGGTCTACTTGTCAATGAGTGGTAAGAAAAAATTACTGGCCAAAGTGTTTTTCAGCTGGTCATAAAACTGCATAAGACAGATGTTTGGAATGTTATGGGAGTATAAACTATTTTGACTAATTCTGACACCATCATTGTCATGATTTTCAGAATTTCTACAAACCGCGTGAAAACAATTGATTGATTAATGGAGAAAATAATCAGCATATTAATCTATAATGAAAATAATCATTAGTCACAGTCTGAATAGTTCCAAATGCGCTACAAAAGTAAAATCCTGTTTTTAGCCTACAGTTATGCTTCAGTAATAATCTAATGATATAAAATATGTAATAATGTAAAACCGTTACATGGGACATTTTCTGCAGTGAATACTTCTATTTTAGTACACTTTCCTGATCATACTTACATACCTTTACTTAAATAACATTTTCAGTGCAGGACTTTTATTTACAACGGAGTAGTTTTTACAGTGTTGTATTTGTAAGCAGTAAAGGATCTGAGTAGTTCCTCAACTAGTCTGTCTCTGTCTACCAAGGTAAACGAACACTTAATGATATGAATTAACATAGTTACTGTGTTGCTAACATGTTAAGTTAGCACACCCACACCCTTATTGTACCTGTGTGTTACTGGCTGAGCCCCCCCCTCCCCACCTTTAAGGCAGGTGGCCTTTTGGGTAGCCTGTGTATGTGATGCAGACTAGCAGGTTTGTTGTGGGAAGCGGTGTGTGTGAGAAGTACCAGCACGCTGCTGCTGTCACATACAAGTGTATGCTATAAGGGTAGTTAAGTTGCTTTTAGTCAACTGTAACGTGGCTAGATAAGCTGTATAGCTACTGGAAAGCTGCGTGTTGTGTTTACTGTCACAGAAGAGAATAAAAAAGTAGGTCTGCAACCTGCCATTGGCTGCTGACCTTATTCAATTGCCAACTTAGATTTTTACTCTTGTTTAGCGAGTGGCGAGTGCTAATTTAGTACTGTTGTTAAGGCATTCAAATACTGGCGTATTGCCAATAAGAAAAAATAAATAACACAAATGCCACTATTGCCCCGTGGTAGGACTCTTGACCTGTCGATAATTCCTGAATAACTGCAGCCTGCCCTTGTTTTACAAGTCTTGCACGGACTGACTAAAATGCACAAGTGAAGGCACGCTGTAGCGTCGTAGTGTGGTGTCATATCCACAGTGATAAACAGTCCTATAACACAGTTATTGCTTTTGGCACGGTTGAGAGGCTGCTTTAACAAGGTGGAGAGAAGAACTCGCCTTCCAGTCGGTTTTTGTCTCGTTCTGCTCATCGACACATTTGGTTGTAGCCGTCATAAATTTATATATGTTTGAAGTATTTCCGCAGACATACCCCACTTCAAGTTGACCAATGTGGGCATCCACTAATCTTTGTCCATAATCGCAACTAACTGGTAATTGTTTGGGTCACAAGTCGCATACCTGTTCACTGCAAATACACAAACGTTACACACCTATCACCTAACATGATACTCTGTATCTTTGTAGGCATGTTGCGTGCACCTGATTTGGGCTGGTTATCCATCTGGTGCCACTTTCTAGAAATGTAGCCCAGGCAAAGAGTGCAACTAGTGGGGTTACTTATGGTTAACAGAATCATTTACTGATGCTGATCTGTCTGCATCTATCAAGATCAACCGTTGTTAAATTACTCAGAAACCCCTCCCCAATGGATAGTTTGACCACATATCTTGTGAAAAAGGCTTCAGATCGTCTGGCCCATGATCAATTTATATACAGACCTGACAGGGTGTTATGATAACCATTTATTAATAACTAATTAACGTTTATAACTGCAGACTTAAAAACCATTCAATAGATTTGGCATCCCAATAGATGGTGATGTTCTTATTAATAGCTTTTGACTGATTCGTGAAGCATGTGAATTATGTATTAACCATTAATAAAGCCATTAAGTCACAAATTATAAACCCCTTTTATAAAAGTTGTAAAGTAAAAAAATGTGGAAATAATGTTGCCAGTGTGATGTCTGAGTGATAGTAGAATATTAAAACATAGGGCTGAACAATTAATCCAAATCTTATCAAAATCCCTACTGCAAAATTCATATCCCAGGAGGCACAATATAATTAAAAAAATAATATATTGTTATTGGTGGAATGTGTATCAAAATACCATTTTAAATAAAATATTGTGCTGCAGAGATGTCCTGGCCTACTAATCATATTAGGCTTAAGAAGACATCTTTGTTTGGTACAGATCCCTGCAAAATAAATAAAGAATAATTATGAAAAAATGATCATTCCCTCAAATATTGCAAATTGTGTCACAATTGCAATATCAGACCATCTTTGCAACAGTGTTTTACCCTGCTTAATAAATATTTGGTACTGACGGAAATGTGTCCGCAGCACTGAGGACCAGAATTTTGCTTCACATCTCTGGTCAGAACTGATTGACCAGTCCTGGTGGCCCTCAGCATCAGTCCATATCAACCCCGCTGCGGCCGTGTAGAAATGTGACCTGGCTAATTGCAGCAGTGTTGTTGAGATATTGTCAGTCGATCGAGTTTCGGGCAGTGATACACGGCAGGTCTCAGTTTCCTATGACACAAGAATAGTAGTGGCATTGGGCAATTCTCTACAGCTGTCTGTGCTGTGTGTCAAATTCATGTGCTGTTTTCCTCTCAGTGATTGGCTGGCATGGAGGAGGATGTTCTACCATTTTGGGAAAACCTGCTGAGAAGCAGGAGTGAGCATCCACAGGAAAACATGTTTATACTCCTCAGAATAATGTTTAGATATCTGTGCTGGAGGTCAGGTCTGGGCACTGATATCAAAAAGTTTCTAATGATACTCTCAATTCTAGGGCCGGATTAAACTGCCGATCTACAGGATATCATGTTACCTTACATAAAAATGATCCCTGTCAGTTCACATGTATGCAAATTTAAAACTTGGCAAAAAGAGGGCAGTGGTGTTGGAGTGGCAGATACGCTGAGTTAGCGTATCAGAATCTGTATTGAGGAGAAAAATTTGATCGGTGTATCCGTACTTGAAACTAGATTTTGTCACAGGGACCCTCTTCGTGAAAAGGTCCTCAAGGGCCAAACCTACAAATCATAACATCATGTCTGGTTGAGCGCAATTTCCAGTGGACACTCGTTAAGCCCGGAGGTTCAGGGTCGATGTTCTGTACTTTTCTTATTGTTAACAAATCCCACAAAAAGACTAAAACAATGAGTGCATCCAACAATTAGATACTGTGTGCGTATCTTCTTCCTCTGTGCCATGACATGAGGATAAATAGTTGGAGGTGGCGGGTGAAATCGTTGTGCTGTCCTCCACTTTGGCGGACAAGGAAAGTGCACCACAGAAAGACGCGTAGTAAGTTAGCATATTATGGCAAACGGTGCACGGATGGCTATTGGGTGGGGTAAAAGCTCAGTTTTGTATTGACCATTTTACTCTGTCCCTTTCCGACCTCCTTCCTTCTAATCATGGCTGACGTACACAGTAATATTAATGGATTGATTGAGCATCTTCAATTGACATACCTGGTTGTTAAGTAAGGTGTACTGAGAGACATGGGTCCTTTTGTGCATGCAAACATGCATGTAATGTTTTTGTGTAAATACATTGAACACTGAATGACATTATTAATATTAAAAGATGCCTAAATAAGCTCAATGCTATTTCTTTATTTAGCACATACATTTCAAAACTAGCAGATAAAATTTCTGAATTTCAGACCCTGGTGTCAAAGAGGAACAGTATGTCAGTTGTGCTTGACTATTTTCCATCATGGAAGATTGTAACAAAGGGCCAGAGCAGTCACCCTACCCGGAATCGAACACGGGTCTACAGGGTAGTCGGGGGCGGAATTAGACTCTCAGCACAGTGGGGGCGGGGTGTCATCACAGGGAACACCTGCGACCAAGTAATTTAAACCAAGTTTACATAAAAAATATAAAAGGACATATTAAAAACAAGTCATTAATGCGGGGCAGGCTGCACACTCTGCTGCTGAAACACTTCTGAGAGGATTCCAGTGTGAGTTGACAACAGAACTAAACTGCAGCGCACACGCTGACCAGGGTAATACATAGTAGCCTATGTCCATCCCTCAGAATTCCCATGATGCATGAGGGTGAAGGGAATTTTGTTAAAATTTTCTAATAAGTTTGTCATTTGTTTAAAATATAAATATTACTTTTTACTTACTGTTTTTGTTGGTAATTGTCATTATTGTGCTGGTTTACCATTGAAAGTGAGTGTAGGGACTGTTTCATTTGATAAGAGCTGCTGAATTTTACCGGAACAGGGAACGTGCCTGCACTGTTTTCGTTCTGCGGTGGCGACAAGCAACTGAGCTAATCTTCACGTCCCACGTAAGTGGACCCTACCCAGCAGGGGCCCTGGGTCAGCCGCCCCTATGCACCCATGCTACCTTCACTTATGAGGGTAGTGTTCCAACTTCGATACAATACCTTGAAAAATATCGATATTTGATACCATTTTCGATGCCACGGGGGAAAATTGACACAACCTTGATTAAATGACTAGATCATTTTGTAATTAAATTCAGTCAATTAGGTGAAGTTGATAGTAGTGTGTGTTAAGCAGAACAGCATCAGTTAATTTAATTTTGACCTTAGTTAAAAAAAAATGCAGCAACCATGGACCATCGCTACACTACCCAAAAGGAGTAAAGTCTGGGACTCACACTGTGTGTCGCAGCAAGGTACCATTTACACTGGGGACACTATATACATTGTGAATTGTCACCAGCCACCTGAATTTTGTGTTTCCCAAGTATAAATAAAAACATTTCCACCATAAATTGGTGCAGAAACTTTTTTCCAGAATGCAAGAAATTAAGTGTTTAACTCTCAAATTTGCATCGTACAGTTGCTTTTATTGCATTAAAATCATCTTACCTATTTTGTTATTTGGCTCAGGACTGAGTTTAATGTTCATTGAAAAAAGTTATGGTTATAAATACACTATTTGCTGAGACTCAAATGTCACATTTAAGATTTAAATTGAGTTTCACCTCCTCTATAGATATAAAGATTCAATAGATTTATATTATGTATTGTTATTATTATCTTCAATATCAGCAGTGTCAGTGAGTAGGCTGCTAGCCAATCACAGCACAGTAAGGCAGAACTTGCTGCACACACAGCTAGCGTCCAATTTCAAGGACGCGTGCAAGTGACGAGTGCTAGCCAATCAGAGAACAGTTTGGTGGACTTATAAAAACTCTGGCAGGAAAAAACGTGAATCAACCAGAGCGAAGCAGACGAGTGACAAGAAGACAGCACTGTTAGTGAGAGGAGGCGGGGCTATGTGGCACTGCAGCGGTGTGTGTATTTATAACTAGCTGTCAGATAGAAGAGAAGCATTTTTTCTATATCGATACTGTGAAAAATGAGTAGTAAAACAGTTTAAAATATTCAGAATCGATATTGTATCAGCTGAGATATTGTCCATGCTCCCTGTTCTGACCCGCACTGTTTTTCTTTCAGTGACTATCTGTTCAAACTCCTGCTCATAGGAGACTCTGGAGTAGGAAAGTCCTGTCTTCTGCTGCGCTTTGCTGTAAGTAGTAGTGGTTTTGCATTGCTGATGGCCTGTAAATGTCCCTTTTGGTCTTTCCTCATTCTGCTGTTGGCCTGATGGCTCCTGTCCTCCTCACCCTCTCTGCAGGATGACACATACACAGAGAGCTACATCAGCACCATCGGAGTGGACTTTAAGATCCGCACCATTGAACTGGATGGCAAGACCATCAAACTGCAGATTGTGAGTACACACACAAACACATGTTTGTTCCTCTCTCCCTGTAGGGACCTCTCATTGCCATAATGCATTCCCTAGCCCCTCTTAACCATCACAACTACATGTCTAACCCTAACCTAAATGTAATCTGAACCCTAAGACCAAATCTTAGCCCTTAAAAGGAGTTGTGTTTCCTCCATTGGTTAGTGTGCATTTAGGTTAAACACACACACACACACACACACACACAAAAACACTGTAACTCTCCCCTGAGCTAGGGCTTATATCCAACCATTGTCATCAAAACACTGAGGTGTGTGTGTGTGTGTGTGTGTGTGTGTGTGTGTGTTCTGCATTCAGACCGAGCTGTAACTGGATCCCGTTTTAGTTAAAAAAACAAGCTGTGCCACCTCAAAGACATCCATTTTGTTAAGCAGACACAGTTCTGTCTCACACTGCACAGTGTAGTTGTGTTTCTTTGCTTTTATAGATCACTCTGAACACACCTGGAGATGAATTGAGTTACTGTTGTTGTGGTTGGGCAGTCATTTAGTCCATTCCTACTGCAGGTTGAACAACCAGTGACCTGGAGCTTAACATTTCCTGAATTTTTAAGAACCTTGTGTGTGTTTCCATGCTATTTATAAACTGGCATTTCAGATGTATGTCAGAAAAAGGCAACAGCAGTTGTTGTTAACATGTGGTCAACGTGGAGGTTCTACACAGTGAGTGAAGAAGACCCAACACTCGCTATCTGTAATACCTGTAAGGTCAACATAAGCCGTGTTTCCCCACACAGACTTTTATTTGGTTACCCATTTTAGTTGGGTTTTCTGGGTGACTTTATAAAACTGCTGACGAATAAAGTCGGCAGAGCAGCCAGCTACAGGGAGAGAGAGACAGAGAGAGACAGGTGTAGGTGTGTGTGTGTGAAGGGAAAAGCAAAGTCAGCAGATTAAAGCACTTTCTGAATAAAGGTGGAGAATTAAGAAGAAATAAAATGACAAGATTAATAATTTCCTTCTAGAAATTAAATAGGGTAATGTATTCTTTAAAATATTTAAAATATACAAATCCCCCTGTAACTTTTTATTTTGAGATGGTTGAGTAAGAGAGAGAAGGTCCTGTAACCTGCTGCAGTTTTGGAGAAAATTACAGTGTTTCCCCCATATGCATTCAGGGGCAGTGGTCCGCCGCTGCTGAATCATGACCGCCGCTACTAAAATTTCCCACGATCATTAAACTACGCGCTACAAATGTTTTCACTTGTACACTGTGCGAGCACGGCAGCACTCAGTGCTTAGCCAGCTTCCTCTCATCGTTTTATACAAAACATCTACGTGACAGATGGTGTTACAAGAGCAGCGTAACTCCTGTAAGGAATCAGGAGGTGAGTAGCAAGTGTATGATTGTCCGAGTGGCAGAAAGTGACGGTGAGCGCGAGCAGAGAAAAAATATTCTGGCAGTAAATGTCCTGTGTCGGATGCAGTGTGTTAGCTTCTCAAGACCAAGAAAAGTTTCTGTTGTTTCCCACCTGCTGGAAAAGTGAAGCCTGTTAGCACAAGCAAACATCTCTCCTCCTCTTCAGACTGCACAGAGCTCTGTCCTGTACAGACTGATTCAATTATTTTTCAGTTTCAGGTGAGTCTGAAAAAGTGGTTGTTAGGAAAAGAAAGGACGGTGGTGACTGTAGAGGTGCTGAGGTTAGGAAAGCAAATTAGTGATGCTAACTAGTCCTTTTAAGCTAATCTTTTTGGATTTTAGTGTGCAAATAAAATGCACCTCATGTTGCCTATTTTTTATATTAATGTCTACAGATGTCAAAAGCTGTAAAATGAAGACACAAAAGGCAAACATGAGCAGTCTATAATGATTCTGAGGTCATATTAACAGGGTTTTCCTGCCGTTGAGGCTTAGGGGGTGATGCCCAAAACATGCGGTGCCATCACTGTAAAATCACTGTGGAGAGCATCAAATTACTTTCCCCAAAACTTAAGGTTGTAGTTCCTCCCTAGTAGACTGATCTTTGGGTGTTGGTTATTTATTATCTGCTCTAGCTTTTCCAACTATTTGTCCGGGATATGGTGAAAATAATGGCCCAATATGATGTGAAATTACATATCTGTCATTGGAAAACATAAAAACCCCTGACTACCAAGACCAACACCAAAACATTCATCTAAAGCTCACATTAAACTGGACATGTTGTGTTGGTTTAATATTCAGACAAAAATTTTGCTTCACCTCCGCTCCACTGAATTACAATGTTTTTTAATAGTTAATTTTTCATCAGTTGAATGGACCCCAGGAAGAATACATGGTGCTGATGGGGATCAATAAAGAAAGAATTTTCCATTAATGAAAAATAGCAAAAATGTTTGTGTTTGCCATTTATAGTTGTTAGAAAGAAAATCCACAACAGAGTTTATAATGCTATTAGAATGTGGCCAGGGACACAGCCTCACAGTCAGCTGCTAACCACATCAAAGCATACCTTTATTTTTTTCTTCTACTCAAATACTAAATAAAATACTGTTTATTTTCAAATAACAGCAGTGTTGTGTCCAGCATGAACAAAGAAGATCACTAATAATAACATCTATTAGCTTGTAAATTAACATGGGAAATTCAGCATAATATACATTTACACATCGTTAATTCCACCATCACACCTGGCCTGCTGCTCACACTCATTATTTACCATTAAGTATTTCCAGTGCCTTCTATTTCTTTTCACAGCTATGGCTGATGAAACTCTACACGCTCACAGATTTTCACATTAAAAGCATGCTACTAGAGGGGAGGGGTTGTGGACTGACTGGAAGACTTTTAATGTGAAACATTTGTACAGGAAGTGTTGGGTTTCATTTACAGCAGCTTAAGAACAATAAGGTAAAGACGCTTTTCCTTAAAACATAATAGCAAGAGAAAAGGAAGTAAAAATAATACATTGTAAATGTTCATAAATGAAGGAAGAGTATATATTTTAAATTGAACTGATGCTGAGTTCTCGAGAGTGAATCAGTCGGGCTCTGCTTCTTAAACCAGCTCCTGTCCTGGGTTGACTCAAAATGAACTGAAATAAGCTGATCTGAATCAAAGTAAATGTATCTTACTATTTGATCTTGCTTCTAAGTCAAATACACTTAAGCACCTGAGGTCTTTTGATTTTCACAAAGGAGTTTGAGGAGGGAATTGTTCATTCATTTATTCATGTTCTTTATGAAATTGTATGTTGTTGTATTGATTCTAATCTGTTCTCCCTGCTCTAATTTTCTACCTCTGTCTCTCTCAGTGGGACACTGCAGGTCAGGAGAGGTTTCGTACCATCACCTCCAGTTACTACCGCGGGGCCCATGGCATCATAGTTGTATATGATGTGACAGATCAGGTGGGTCAGCAGTCTTGACTGCTTCCTCATGAGGAAATCAGTCCAATGCGTTATGATAGTATTGTTATGTTACTTTGCTGAGTAAATAATTAGTACTCAAATATTTTGCAGTTCCACCCTGTTCAAGTTTCTTTATGAATGAAAGGTTGGTCAAGCTTTACATGGAAACATTTGCAGGATACTTTTGATTTGGTAGCATAAAATATAGAGCTAATTCATGGCCAGTACAGTATATTCATTTGAATTTGAGTTTAGCTTTAGTGTATTATTTCCTGTATTTCAGAGGAATTCTTCTCTTGCAGTAATTCGGCTCTCACTGCCCAGATATACGGGTGTTAAAAGACCCCTGTGAACTTACCTGCATTGAGCTCCAGTGTTTGTTGTGCTGATACTGTTGTCATTGTGCAGGAGTCCTACAACAATGTCAAGCAGTGGCTTCAGGAAATTGACCGCTACGCCAGTGAAAATGTCAACAAGCTTCTGGTGGGCAACAAGTGTGACCTGACCACCAAAAAAGTAGTGGACTACACAACAGCCAAGGTACGGCTGTTCTCTGCATGAAGCAACAGCACGAGGTGTCTACGAGAGAGGGATGCACATTTTAGACAGTTATTAGGTGTTCAAGCACGAGTCCTTCACCGTAGCACAAGGTGAATTTCACAGTGGAGGTATGCACTGCTGCACACACCAGCAGGTGGCGCTATAATCAAATAAGTTTTGGCCTCTAACCCTCACAAAGTACATTGTACATTCACAAACCTTATATCCACACATTCTTCTAGGCGATGAGTCTGACTTGCATGAAACTTTGTGAGCAGAATCTATGGACCCTCTTGTTGAAAAATCATCAAATGCTAAAATAAGTTAAAGAATGGTGCACAGATGCCAAAAGTTACACGTCCACCAGCAGGTGGCGCTATAATCTATGTAAGAAAAAAAAAAATCTCCAAAAGAGCTCCACTGTGAAATAAAAGGTAGACCCTCCATTTGAATCCAGAAGACGTGGAGATGTGAATCCATGTAAAGTCAGACTCAGCAAATTCTTCGTCATGCGGTAGTCAGTGCTGTAAATGTATAAGTAATAAGTAAATACATTAAAGTATTTACTTATTTACTAGGCTTACATTTCCTTAATGGATGATAGTGGTGATATAGCTGCCGTATTAGACTGTAGCCTATGTTACATTTGAAATATATTTGTTCACCTTTAATCTGACGGGGAAAAACAGCGATACTGTTTGCATCCACCAATAGGCTTTGTGCAAGGGTTGCTGCTAAGGATTTTTTGTTATTGATTAGTGGATTCTTTTTTCACTTAGTTTATTTATTTTTTGGCCTAGAATAGCACATCCAGTTCAGTATGTATGGAGCTGTGTGTGTCTGCCCTGCTGTCAGATCTACAGCCAGTGTTGGTCTCTTCATGTTTCACCACGAGTTTCCTCCTTCTCTTCTGGCAGGAGTTTGCTGACTCTTTGGCCATCCCCTTCCTGGAGACGAGCGCCAAGAATGCCACCAACGTAGAGCAGGCTTTCATGACCATGGCCGCAGAGATCAAGAAACGCATGGGCCCCGGGGCCACAGCCGGCGGCGACAAGCCCAACTTAAAAATCGAGAGCACCCCTGTTAGGCAGTCTGGAGGGGGCTGCTGTTAAAGGACCCCTCGCTCCCATCACCACGATCATCACCTCCACACCTCCACCATCTCCACTGAAATCTCCCTTTCATCTCCTTCTGTGTTCCCGTCCCATCATCTCTGCCACGCCCACACCCCACCATTCCTCCAGAACACCCTGTAACCCACACCCAACTCCCTGACTCCCCCTCTATAAGCTGACCTGGAGATCCAGGGATGGTTGGCCAAACAGAGGTGTAAACTGTTAGTGTTAAGATCAGAAAACAGATTGATTCAGACCTGTACGCCCACCAAACAACAGAGAGGAGAGCAAGCAGTCTGTGGCGGGGGGGACAGAACAGACACCAAGGCAACTTTTCCTTTCTTCAGAAAGGAAACACACACGGGGGAAGATTAGTATTGATTTAGAGTGGAATGGAGGCAGTGGAAGCTTATCTCAACACACACACACTGTAATGGGACGGAGGGGTTACAGAGATTTAAGCCTTTTGGCCAAACACTTTTATCCTCAGGCTGTCTGCTTTGGCTGATTCCATCTTATGGCCACCCTCCATCTCACCCCAGCCCAAACTTTTCATCCCTAGAATTATTAACCTGCGCGTGCGCACACACACACACACACACACACAGACACAGGTGCAGTGTGCTTGAGAAACGCACCTTAGATGCTCTGTACACAGTAAGAAGTGTTCCTGAATAACACTGACTCATCATCACCATTTATTGCTGAAGACCCAGGGAAAGCCCTTACAGTGAGCCTCCATCTGACCTCTTCCTCAGCTTCCACTCACACGTTCTTCAGGTGTGTTCAGACAGAAAGCAAAGGGAATTTTCGATTTAGGTCGTTCATGTGAATTTGACCCCAAACAGCCAATGAACAGTACTTTCTCTCTCCTTTCCCCCCTCTGTATGTTTATGAAGTAGATTCATAAAGCAACAAGACGTATTTGATCACGTTGAAGCATTTTCTACTTCCTCAGATGTGTCTTTGCCTCAGTTTGTGCTGCCCAGGGTGAATCTGCATCTATTCATGTCAACTCAAGTTCTGTCTGAACACACTTTTAAGGTCACAGTATGCTTCAAACACACCAGGAGGTACTGTACAGGGAAGTAGTTGTGTGAAGAATGAAAAAAGAGAACTTGCTTCAGCATCTTCACACGTAGCTAGTTGCTACATAAAGTGAGCGTTGTTCTCAGACCAAAGTTACAGAAATTGTCTGATGCAATCCCCCAATTCCACCATGGAAATGGTTTTAAATGTTAGACAGCATGACAAGCATTTCATTAGAAGCAAACTGAAGCCTTGAATGCCTGGTCACATCAGAAAGTGGCAAAGCAATGTTTTATTTCACATTCTCACAAAACAAGCTAGGAAGGGCTGCAACTAATGATCATTTTCATTGTTGATTATTTGTTCAATTCATCGATTAGTTGTTTGATCGACAACATGGTGAAAAATGTCTATCACTGTTTCCCTAGATGATGTCCTCTAATGTCTTTTTCTGTCCACAACTCAGAGATTCAGTTAACTGTCATAGAGGAGCAAAGAAACCCGAACATATTCACATTTAAGAAGCTGGAATCAAAACATATTTCAATCCACTCCAAATAGTTGGTGATTAATCTAATAGTCAAAAACTAATCAAGTATTCAATTAATCCTTGCAGCTCTACTTATGAGGCTAGTTGGCAAACTACAGTGGCTGGTAAGCTAACTTCTGAACAGCTGCAGTTAGCAAGCCAGCTAGCTTGGTTGCTAAAAGTAAGTTAACGCAGTTTACCATCGATTCCTGTCTGCAAACCACGTCTCTTTTGTGGAACATTGTTATATAAAAAAAGGATTGTATAACACAGCTAATATGATAGCCTCCTCCATTTCTTCAGCTCTCTGTTCCCTCAAAAGTAGAACTGCCAAGATGGTCAATGGCACAAAATCAGGTGTCAAAAAGTTCATCAAAGTTACTCTAGGGAAAGCTTTGGGAAGATTTACTTTGCCCAGTTCCATTTAAATAAATTGGTTCCAGCTCAAAATGTTGCCGTTTATCTGAATCCGTAATGAGATCACAGACAGGAGAAAGAGCTACATGCAACCACAGATTGTAGTTAGTTTTGATGGAAGCATTAACCATGGGATTTAACCAGACTCCCTGCTCAGCATTTTCAGTAGAAGAAGATGAAGGGAGAAGAAGTGATGAGGGTGGAGTTTGTGAAAACAATATGTGGTGTTAGTTTTTCTTGTGTAGTCTTCAAAGGAATAATTGCATATGTAAAACAAAGCAACATGACATCATGCTGTAACATAAGGGCAGTGACTTCCTGGAATGACACTAAACATTACAGCCCAGGCGCAGAGAACGCTGGAGGAATGACAGACTCGGTTTGACTTACTCTGACAAATGGAAGCAGTTGGCAATATTCTGCATTGATCTTACAATTACTATTTTATTATTGTTGTGGTTTTAGTGTTTTTTTTATTTTCTCATTGATACTTGTAATAGAGACAACTGTCGGCATTACTACAGTTAGCTTAAACTCTCTTGTTGATTATGTGACATACTGTCGTTTGGTTCTCGCTCGTTTGCAGATGAAGCTGAGGTAGAGATGTGGTGTGGGTGTGTCTCTTGGCTGAGGGGTGGGGTCTTTCAAAAGCTGCTGTTCCTTCCCTCAGATCCTTCTTTTTGTTCATCTGAGTTGTCTCCCATTGGCATACGTTTCACATCTGTCTTTTATGTCCCTGGGCATTTGTGGTTCCTTATCAGCTGATTCAGTACTCTAGTGTGTGCGCTTGTGTGATCCTTTTTACACTTTAGTCCTTAACCATAGTTACTAAGGTCTCAGTAAATGGTTTAAATGAACTAGGTCTCCCAAAAAACGTCCCACGTTCTGAATGGCCACTCTTAACGGCAAGGTCCAAAGGCCGCCGCCAGAGAGAGGGGCGAGATGTGATGAGTCGCACCAATGGGGATAACAGTGCACACTCTTCAACAGCCTCTTGAAAAGGCATTCAAGGCGTTGTACTGACGTTGACGGTACACAAACAAACTGACCAAAGTAGCCATGTGAAGAATGGAGATGAGAGAGAAGTTCAGACCCTGCATCATTTCACACACCTCCGCACACATTTTTGGATGCCGTCCCTCCTGGTTTCAGACGCTGTTAGGGGATTCATCCAGCACTTTAGAGTGTGAAATGTTGTCACTGATATCAAAATAATCTTCCGGAGCTTTCATTGTCCTTATCAGTAAAAGCTCTGGAAAAAGCCAGTATGTGGACCTTGAGTTAAGATGATTTTGTCAATGTACTGGTATTTATTTTTCATGGCTACAGGGGCTTATTTCTCTGAAGAAAATGTTATCAATGCCAAAGTCTCAAATGTAAAACAGTTAGATGTGGGCTCTGTATCGTTGTTATCGTGTAGCAATACCTTAGATTTAGTACAGATACCGTGCAAGAAACTACAAATATAATAGTCAATTGGCAAAATTATGAGCACATAATCTTGACATTGGAAAATTATGTTTGGGAAAATAAATCTTTACTCAAGGTCCACTTACTGGCTTTTCCAGAGCTTTCAGCTGCATTTAGTGCATTTTTAGTACCTTGGTAACAGTGAAACCAGAGACGGGTATGAGGCTGTTTACATGCCTGGAGCTCTGAGCAGCTCTGTCAGGTGTCAGTGGAATTTCCAGGGAAACTGGCAAAAATATGTGGAACAGAGCCTCATCCCCCCACCCCCCTTATACAGTGGCCTCCACACTGAAGTAAAAATTCTGTTTCTCTGAGCCTCAACTTTTTACGCTGTTAAATGAAGAACTAGGGAATATGGTGATGTTGTGTAGGTCTGGTCACACTTTAAAGGATGAACTCCCTGTACTAGAGTAGCAGTAGGGCCCTCTAAGAACTCACTGTAGTTGCTTTGGCTATCTGTGGTCTCGGACACAGCAGGTCCATGCTGAACAGAAGCCAGTGGCATTGTGTGCCAGAACATAGTCCGTCTCCTCACTTGTGTTGTGTTTGGGGGCGTCTGGAGGTTCAGGGAGTGACTGGTCTTGATTTGCTGACCGGATATGAACTCCCACCTCTCCCCTCCAGACAGCCACGTCACTGCAGCCTGATGAATTCCTCAAGACCCTCCTTGACTGGCCCCCTCCGCTCAGATAAATGAATCCTGGCCAGGCTTTCGTTGTGATTGTGTTTCTCTGCAAGAAAAACTGAAACTCAGCATTTCAGGTACAACACCGCCTCAGGGTGCTGATGAGGCGTCACAAAGAGCATGCAGCTGAACAAGTGCAATTTCAGCTCCTGCAAACTGAATATAGATGAGTCCACATGATGTTGAGAGCGACAGCCTTCCCTTTGTGAAGCCTCACCGCTGATTGATGGCTGAGCGAAGCACAGATGTGACGTCCGCTACTTCTGATCATCTTTGCATCACTCGGAGATGAGTCGTGTGGAAGCATCATTTTACACAGATTTTTAGTCTTGTGTCTTTCAGCCCTGTTGACCTGAACTGGGATGCTGTGCAGGACTGGAATCTGACGTTAAGGGGGAGGGAAGGAAGCAGCAGTAAGTGTGTGTATGTGTGTGTAGGTCGAGGTGGTGTGTTAGATTCCTGACTTTTCGGACATGTTGGCATCACGGCAGTCTCGCTTTAGTAGATGCAGAACAAGCAATCATTTGGAACTTAACCCTCAAGTCTCTCACACACACACAAACTCACACACACACACACACACACTGGATTTTTGTGATTTGATGACTGATTACCTTTTTCCTTTCAGCAAGTCTTGATATTCTACTGATTTTAATGTCTTCATTGAATTGAATCCTCTATTGTCTAGTCAAGGGGTGTATGACGCTGGGTAGGGTGGGGTTAAACAGACACAGGGTGGGGCTTTTGCTTATGAATGTGATTCCGATGAAACAACACTTGACTTTTCTTCTTTAGTTCACTATTTGTATTCATTTGGCATAAAGGGGGTATTTTTCCATGTCATTTGCACACTTGTTCATCGCTGTTCAATGGCTTAATAAAGGCACTCACTAGGTGTTGTTTGTTAATGAAAAGCACCGGACAGGAGCTCGCCTGTCAGTCACCTTCTGTCTCTTTTCTGTTTGGCTTGTTGACTTTGGTGCTGTCTCCCTGCTGAGTTAGATCATGTTTTTTTCTGTACATATTATAAATATATATAATAAAATGATGAAAAAGATCAACATCAACACAAGAGCTCATCTGATTTGTTACTTATAGTGGATTCTTGAGCGCTGAGGGACTGTCTAAAGATGATTGCAGTGGGGGGAGGGGATGACTATAAAAAAAGTGTAAAGAATTTAAGATAATGTAGCATTTAAACCATAAAATGAAACATAATGGAATGATAATTTCATACACTCACCAACTGCCAGAATTATTACCAGATCTGTATAGGGTCGAACACACTTTAATGACCTGTCAAACATAATTGTGTTTTGATGTTATTTTATTTGGGGGGGGGGGGGGATACAAAATAACTCCCAAAAATAACACATCACACAGCCATTAATGTCTAAATCGCTGGCAACAAAAGTGAGTCCACCACTAAGTGAAAATTTCCAAATTGGGCCCAATTAGCCTTTTTTACCTCTGTGGTGTCATGTGGCTCGTTAGTGTTACAAGGTCTCAGGTGTGAATGGGGAGCAGGTGTGTTACATTTGGTGTTGTCGCTCTCACACTCCCTCATACTGTCACTGGAAGTTCAACATGGCACCTCATGGTAAAGAACTCTCTGAGGATCTGAAAAAAAGAATTGTTGCTCTACATAAAGACGGCCTAGGCTATCAGAAGATTACCAAGACCCTGAAACTGAGCTGCAGCACGGTGAATGCCAACGTGTACTGTGACATATTGAAGCAGAGCTTGATCTCCTTTTGGAGACTGGGCCGCAGGGCAGTATTCCAACATGATAACGACCACAAACACACCTCCAAGACGAGCACTGCCTTGCTAAAGAAGCTGAGGGTAAATGGACTGGCCAAGCATGTCTCCAGACCTGAACCCCATTGAGCATCTGTGGAGCGTTCTCAAATGGAAGGTGGAGGAGCGCAAGGTCTCTAACATCCACCAGGTCTGTGATGGCATCATGTAGGAGTGGAAGAGGACTCCAGTGGCAACCTGTGAAGCTCTGGTGACCTCCACATAAATAATATCTACAAAGATTGCAGACCTCTACTAATTATTTTCTAACGCTGCTTATTCAGCTTCCAAAAACATGTCCTGTTCTCTGTTCCTCCTGTCCAACAACAAGAAACAATCTTCAAATAATAAAGATTGTTATGGTAACTAGAATAAATTCAGAACAGGGTCATAATTATATATTTTAAATAGAAATGCTCTTTCTAGAGCAACAAAGTCACTATAATCTACTGTATAGGCTATATATGCTTTCTACATGTTTATGCTTGTTGAACATGTGTATTGAATAATCGCATGGCCCTGCTGACATCACTAAGATGTCTTAAGGGTTAATTTCTCAGAATCCCCAAGACAAGACACTATACAACTGGTTGAGTAGTTTTGCCCATAACTATTAAACTAAGTTCCCCTAACTAACTCTTACTTAATAGTCTATGTCCATGGTCTATTTTCCCTGACAGGCCTCTCCTGCAGCTCCATCACATCTTACTTGTTTGAGTGCATTCCACTATTCACCCTACAGCAGTACGGTGTCAACAGGTACAATCTACTATAACACAGAGAGAAAGCTATGTATACTGTCTAACACAAAAATATACTGATAGAAGGTGTAACTGCCTTAAAAATGTTGTTTCTTAACTTTAATACCAGTAAAGCTGAAGTTAAAGGGCCATTTCACCCAAATCACACAAAAAATCTCCAACCAACCAAACACACTAGCATATTTTTGTCACTTGCCGCTAGTGCTGCTGAGCCTGAAGATTTGAGATTTTTGTTTTTGCTCCCTGCGCACTACAATAATGGTGACTGGAAATAAGTTTGTGATTCTCTTGAAAAATTACATTTGAAAACAATCTAAATAATTCACACATTTCCCTGGGAGTAGTTTTAAATAGAACTCCTTTCTGTTAACAAAATAGTCCCCAAGCTGGTCCTACAATAACCACGTCTCTTAAGATGATATGTAATTGTACAGTAACAGATTTGGATATGAAGCCAATAAGCTAACCATAGCAACATTCTAAAGAAAAGAGTCCACTGATTTTACACATGAAGATCTATTTAGTTGTCACAAGGTGTACCTCCCTGTGGGAACAATTGTATCATTTCTTGTGTATCTTATTTTCCTCCACAGGAGTGTTGTCAAGTCTGAGAAAAGAACCTGGACAATGTCATAGTGATGTCATCAGTGGTGTCTTTGCATGACTACACATTTATAACATAGGACCTGTGTTACAAACTGGAGGTGTGGAGTGAGTGAGATGTGTGCGTTTAGCAGGGGTGTGTGAAAGACACAATCCAGTTGCTTTATGGGACAATGTAGGCTCTAGCAAATGTGACCATACTAGGGACTAAAAGAACATTAAAACATTTAGGATCAATCTTCTAGTGATCATAACCATGCATTTCAGATTCATCCTGGCCGGGCCTTGTTGAGATATCTTGTACTGAGCCAAAGTACTGAATAGATGGATATTGTCATCATTTGTTTGATACACTACATGTAAAGTATATGCTCTCCATAGGGGTGCACTGTTGCAGCCCACAGGAGCCACTTCAGGAAAGTCCCTCCCCAGCATCCATCAACCTGACCAACATACTGTAGATCTCCGCTGCTGCCTGTCATCCTCGTAGCGGCTGCCCTTGATTTGTACCCCTGCCTCTGCCTGTGGACCTATAAATAACCACGCACACCATGCAGATCATCTGTAGGTGCAGGTTGCTCCGCTGTAGTCCATCACTGTGTCAAATGGTTATGTTGGAAGGCAAATAGAGAGATATGCGACACTGAATATGGCCAGTTGTTGTTCAGAGTCTGGCTCTGGCACTGATAGAACAACCCTGCGGCAGCTCTGGTTGGGATTGCAGCTCTGCACCCCCTCTGCAGTGAGACTTTCTCAGCAGTGATTTTACATGATAAGATGCAAGCAGTTGCTGCTCATGTCTAATCCAAAACACCACGCTTGCCTACACCTGACTGTTACACTGAAGATACGTGTGAAGGTGCTGCTTGTGGAACATCCTTGGAGGGTTCTCTAATCTGGACAAATCTAAGGCTTTGTCAGTGTTTGTTCAACATTTCCTCAGGTGTTGAATAGGTGATGTGCAGCTCTCCTGATGACAAAGCTGCCCCTCTCTCTCTCTTCCTCCCCATCCTAGTGGGAAGGCATGGGGCTGCTTGGTGACCTTGAGTTATTTTTAGCACAATGGGGGCGCTGCGAACTGGGAGCAAGGCTTAGAGACACTCTGTGGAGTCTGCAGGCTACCACAGTGTAGTCTGCGTGCTGGCTGCAAAGTGGGGGCTTCTCATAGGGAGAGGCTTTAATATTCTTTCAGCAACATGCAAACCTGCAGCTGATGGAAACACATGTAGAGCAGCCTCGCTAGTACAATATTGAGTCTATGCGTGTACTTTTATACTACGTTCTTAGAATTTGGGTCTTATTTAAGTTATAATTTCTAGCAGTTCTACCATTGTACTTACTAAGGAACATAAAAAGTCTGACTGGTCAAGAAACAAGCAGTCAGATTAACTTGGTGTGTTATATTTTGGAGCTTAAGCGGGTACTCAGAGGGGAACAAAAGATCACTAAATGCACGTTCATTTCAACACAATTTATTTACATATTCTCCATACACCTAATATTTCATTTGAAGCCTTGGCAATCTACTATTGCATGGCACGTTCAGTTCATCCTGTCAACAGTCCTGTACTGGTCATCAGTGCTTTCTCTCTCATCTCACACTCGAAGTGTTCAGATTTCTGTTCCAGCACACAGTCTTTACTCTGCACGTTCACCTTCCTTCCAATCCACTATCACTTTCCTCTGAGTGGCTCCCACATGTGAGCTTCAGTCGACGGGGCCCTGGAAGATGAGTTTGATGTGGCCCTGCTCCCCTGTCAACCAGGTACCACAGAAGGGGCAGGCAGCATGGAAGGCATGGGTGCCGTGGGGTAACGGGATCTGGCTCCACCCCACCACTGTCTTTTCTGAGCATACATGGCCGCAGGGGCAGAAAGCGTGAGTGGGCGGCCCGGCGTCCAGGTACAATCCTCCCTCACAGCCCAGCCACAGTGGCACATAGGGGCCCACTCGCCGGCACATGGGGCACTCCCTCTCCCCGGTGCTGGCTGGTGCTGTGCCCCCGGGCCCGGCAGGACCCTTCTCCTTACGGTAGCCCCAGTTGTGGTAACCGTGTACATGGCCACAGTTGACGTAGACCCACGGCTGCTTCTTGTCAACGATCTCGCGCTGGGCCAGACTGGGGAAGGCCAGGGTGTTGAAGCCCACAGGACACTGGGGCCGTGCGGCGTTCAGCTCCTGGCGAAGGGACTCTAGCTGTTTGAGGGTAGGGGTGTGGCGCAGTCCGGCGGGGGTCCTCCACAGCAGGGTAGCCCCACATAGATCAATCAGAGAACCGTCCTGCAGGGTGTTCGACTCATTTTCAACCTTGAGAGGAGAAAAGCAGATAGAAACGTAGCAGGAGTAAGAGGAGAGAAGAAATAGGGATTTATTACAGGGTGGAGTTAAACGGGGAGCAACTCTGCACGGGCTTAGTGCACTCTGTACAAGGGAAGCTTCTAGCATTCCCCTTTTATACCACCACACGATGGCACTGTGTTCAACTAGTTATGGTTCAGACAGTTGACACCCATTAACTGTGTGTGTCTTTCTTTAAAATACCCCCATTATCAGCATGTACGCACCACATTTACAGATGGAATCTACAAATCAGTCAGTGAAGGATAGTATCATTGGAATGAACAGTATACTCCTTAAAGACAGCAGTGAGGTTCGTTTCCGGCATGTTTTAAGCAAATGTCTGAAGCTGAAGTTTGTGTTTCCATCAACTACCTTTAAACCAATATACTCAAAAAGACAAGATGGCATAATGAATCAAGCAGCAGTAATTCCTCAAATGGCCTTTTGTGTTTTTTAATGAATTAATTTGTCTTTTCTGATCCATGTGTGCCCAGTGTTTTATTTTAATCAGCCACTATGGAGAGGGCAGTAACCTTTCTGGCTTTCTAGTGGAGTGAAAGCCTGTGAA